AACGCTTCTTAAAACAGCAGGGTTCTAATTTTAATTCAATTAAATATAGAAGCCGTAAACTATTTTCTGTTAGAAAATAAAGAATTAGAAATTAATAATTAAACAAGAAATTGCAAAATTATTAGTTAAATGGGGAGATAAGAATCATTAGTTAGAGTACACTTATTAACTGGATATTACTAACTACTGATTAGTGGAAACAGGGGAGTAAACGGAGGATTACAAACTATTGGTTAAATAGGAAAATCGCAACCCACTAATTGGAAACTCTTGTTAAATGGTTTCCTACATTGATTCATTTTAAACAATGAGTCATAAAATAGTAGTTAAATTGGGGACAAGGAGCCACCAGTTAGAAAATAATAGTTTAAACAGAATGTCACACATCTAAGTTAATCACAGCCTACTAGTGTCGTAGAAAATGGATTTTCAAAGTAAATTTGTTGGTAAATACAGATTTAAACGGTAGAAAAAGTTTCTTAATGCATTTTTATGGCGTTGAGTGGTAAAATTGAGTACAACATTGATCAATAACTAATAAGTAGTGCTAATAAGGCGGTTAATTTATTCAGACTACAGTATTTTTTTTCTGTTTAAACAAAGCCACTATATCATTCTTCATTTCGCATATTCAAGTGTATGCACATATTCTGTCAGAATTGTGCACGCTAACGTTATTCCTCAGTCTGATGCCGTGTTTATTAGTGTGTCTATCAATCACCACTGACATCGACAGCTGACTAAGTTGCTACGTAGAATGTCATGTGATCTCCCCGGACGGATCACATATATACATGCCAATCACGGAATATCATTTATATAAAGGTTATAAATGTTCTCTGAATTAAGTTCAACACTTATTAACTGAATTAAATAAATGATTTTCTAACGTCCATTTCGGTTTAAATGATTTTAAATTATTTTTAAATACATTACCGTCCAAACGATTGCTAGTATGAATTTCCTCTCGTATCGTCTTTCAACAAAGACTATTAATTTCGATTAATTCGGTTAAATTATATATATTTTGAGGAGTCAATTAAATTTTAAATAATTATCTTTAATACTGTTCGACTCAAAGTTAATTAAATGCGATTGCAAAATATGCCAAGTTTAGTTAGCAATTCTATGGACAATTTGCATTTATTTTCCATTAGTTTTTCTCTCGGTTGTTTAAAACGAGTTTTAGATTTACTAGAGAAACTTTTGGTGATTTAATGGAAAAATATTATGATATACTTTCGCATAAAGAAGTGTCAAGCATGATGAACGGTTTAGTGATAAGGCAGGGAGGTACAGAATTAAAGAACAGGAAATAGAAGGTGCCGGAAACTGTACCTATGATGAGAATGAGTCCGACCCAGTATCTTCGTTCTTTACTATCGCGCTGATGCGTACGTGGAAGTAAAAATATGCCTATATCTGCACACCTTTCATACATGAATGTGAATGGATTTCTGAAGGAATGAAAGCTCAGCTTGTAAAGGAAATAGACTGCCTGTAATGCACTTGTGGATTCCATATAAGAAGACTGATAAGACCATGAAGTTTAAAACCTGCATCTAACCAAATAGGCTCTAAGAAATGCATTGAACAGAGAAAATAACTGTTGTACAGTTGAGGTTTTCGACATTACATTTCATGATAGTAACATTATATTCACGTATATTGGGTCATAGGAGGGTAATATTGCATTTTTTTATATTTATTTTTTTATAAACCGACCATAACCAACATATTGTAAATGCAATTTCATGCACATATTCCAATAGAAAGTTCAGACAGGTGGGTAAAAGTTTTGGACTACAGAACGATTTCCGATAACAACTTCCAGTGATTTATTTTAGGCTTAAGTTTTCTAACGCGGAAACTCTCACGAAAGTCAAGCCATGTGAAAAATCAATCCACTTTTTCTCTGTAAAGGTTTCTTCGCCGCATTTTATGAAAGTAATGCAAAGATGCTACCCAGCGTAGCTTACTTTCAGATCCCATATAACGTTTCTTGAATGATATACGTTAAAGAAAACAATCGTGGATCTCTCTACCTTTAAAATATATCCATTCCAGAATATATTCTTTCAATTCTTATATAAAAATATTCAATAAAAATCGCTCTCGAAAACACTAAAAAAAGGAATATAAAAGCACTAAGGAGACTACTTTACTTCATTATTATGTCGAGTCTATTTTTACATTAAATATTTTTAACTAAACAAATTAATTTTAAAATTTTATGAAGTTTATATGTAATAATGTCATTATAAAGTTTAAAAAAATCCAATTTGTGATTTGTAAGTATATACTTTAGAAAGGGCTAATAATTTTAATGGTTCATAAAATAGTCATAAAAGTGAAAAGTAGCATACGATATTCAACTTTTTTTGAAATTTGTAGTATTATACATAGTTAAACGTCAAAGAAATTTTGATATCGTCTACAATAAATCTTAATATAACGGATAGAATTGTAGAATAAATAGTGTTAGAAATGTAATATAAACTTAAAAGTTTAATGCAAACTATGAGTACTCCATTGAGACAGGCATCACTTCAATCTTGAATACCAAAAGCGTGGTCAATATTTGAACAGAAACGTAAAGTTGGTTCCCTCATAAACCTATAGTTGAAAGCATGTCACCTGGGTTGTTGGGAAGAGTACTTAACCGGACGAAACTTTTCCATTATCGTCTTAGTTGCTGCGGGGTGGGCCTGCTATAAACTAGCTAAATTGGACGAGTACAAACAAAAATGATACAAGAACATCGTCTCCGTCGTCGACGGTTAAATTTCAATCTCGAATTTCACTTAAAATATACATAATTTTAAATATCGATTGTCAAAAAGTAAATTTATAAAACAAATACTTCTTATATAATAATACGTCAATCATTAGATAATTTCCTTCGAAGTCTTATTTAAAATAACTATTTCGTGCAATTCTAGTAATAATTGCAAGTACTAAAGCGTGTAAATCGTAAAGGAACTGGTCTTCTAATGAACTGTAAGCAAAGAAACTATGGCTAGAACCTTAGAGTACCCAGTAATGAAAGGAAACGGAGAAAGCAATAGCGAAGTAGCCAAGACGGGAGAAAGTGCGGTGAGCCAAGTAAAGAAAACAACAGTGAAACATTAATTACTGAGGTACAAAGATCCTTACTGGTGAATGGTACAATGAACAAAGGCACTACAGAACGAGTACCTGACCTCTCTCTCTTCCTCTTTCTCTCTTACTAGAAAGCTTTTCACAGTTAACTAAGAGATATACACAGTGTATGTTCATTCCGTTATATGTTTAACTTACTGAATTAGCTAAGATACTGGATATGTTGTTAGAATTTAACTACTAATTATCTGCTGCACGCTATCACACTTAATATAAGACTAATATATTAAATAACATAACGTTTATTTTGCCCAGAACATTATTATGTAGAGTTTTATAATTAACATCTTCAATAGTTTACTAGTCAAATTTTTTTTGTTTATAAGAAGTTATTTAAAAATAATTAAATTTTAATTGTTGTATAAATCCATTACTAATGAAATGAGGAAAAAGTTTTTATTAGAGAAGTAGTTGCATTAAAACTGAATTTTTTTTATAAATATAAAATAAAAATTAATTATTTTCCTATAAGAACATTAATAGAATTTCTATATCAAACAAGAGTTTCGTACAGTTAATTTTAAACAAAGTTTTAAAAACATAATCTGTTTTTTTACAAGAATAACATTAAAAAATAAATGGAGTGAGAGAGAAAGAGAGAGTGAGAGTGAGAGAGAGAACGTTTTAAGTAGTTTACAAAGTTTAAAATGTATTTACAGTTTAAAGTAGAGACTTTTGTGTCATTAATTTAATGATTTTTATTCATCGAAATGTTAAAAGCAAAGAAAACATCTCGTCTACAATAAAAGGCATCTTTTAGTGAGAATATAGATTTTTATCTTCTATGTTAAACACGAAAAGCCACGAGAAAGAATGGAGGTTACAAGCAACCATCAATATGATCAGAGTTCTAATGAATGTCTAGTACATTTGTCCGTTAACGTATCCAGTTATGACGGTCACAAATCTTAACTTCTCCGTCCTAGTTCCCTTGCGATCTAATCAGCTGCATTAGTGTCGGCATTGTCCACTTTACGGTGTATTGAGTAGGCTGCTGAAATGCCCATAAAACAACCAGATAAGGGCAAGCAAAATTCTGTCCTGTAGCTTCTACGACCCCTTAAGGGAATTCCTCTGTCTTGTCCTTTCTTGCAAAGAACCATTGTTTATTCTCTCTCCTTTATAACTTTGTGCTCGCCATCAAACTTTATAAGCTTTGAATGCTTGAAGGATGCAGCGAATTCCTTTATTGCTGTTTGCTAGAGTGGAAAATTTTCTACTTTTTTCATCTTTGTTGATACTTGATAAGAAAAAGAAACAACCTACTCAAGAAATTTTTATCAGAATNTTTATATATAAACAAAAGCTTAGGACCCTATGCAACTACTAGGGGCTTCGTTTCATTCTTCTAATCAATAAATAAATATGTATATTTATATTTATTGGAAGGATGAAGCGAAGCTCCTAGTAGTACACACAGACACCCACATACACCCACATATATATAAGCTACGCGTGTGTATGTATATTATCCATTATTATTTGATAAAGGAAGGATCTCTTGTATATTGCAGCTTATGGCCAAAATATATTAAAATCCTGTTCTGTTTAATGCGTCTAATTTACATGAAAAGATACAAAAATAAATCGTTGTATATTGTTTGTTATATTATGAAAAAGTTACGTGAACTAAAGATAAAAATAAAATTACCGTAAAGTATACAAAATTGAGTATATGGAATTCTAGACAGCATTAATTTAAAAATAATGTAAAAATATTAAATTCAAAAATAGATCAATAACATCTTTTATAAAAAGATTTATTTCAGATAATACAAAAAAAAAGTTTGGTCAATAAAATACAATTAAGAAGAAAACAGGTTAAATTTATAAAAATGTTGTTCAAAGAGATTTGTTGTAAAAAGTAGAAATTTAGTTCTGCCATTAAAAAGAAGAAAAGAAAAAAAAAATCATTTTTCGAAACCAGAATTACAATGTCAAACAACAAGGAAAATAATTAAGTGTCGAAATGTGAAAAAAAATTGTTTTTTTTTGCATTTTACTTCTATAGACAAAACATCTCTAGAATTTTATATTTAAAAAAAAAATCTGATTAAGTAGCTACGTTAGAGAAAAAGGAGGATTTTAAATGAAGTGGGAAACATTTAATCAACTTGTTTGTTTTGAATATATCATCAAAATGACGTAGATATTTAGTTCTTTTCTCGAAAACATTAAAGTAGTTGCGCATTTGTCTATCGGAATCAAGTACAGCTTTAACGTGACATCATTAAAGTCGAACGTGTGCAATTGAAGATGAATCACCATGATTTGGATGGAAATAATTGCAGCACTACAGAAATAAATATTAAATAACAGAAATATCTGATCGTTCTTTTAATAATAGTGAAAAATTACCTTTAACTCTTTTCTACAGTATAGGGTTTCTCAATTATGTAAGATTTTTACATTTTGCTCACGTATAAAGTAGTAGTTGAAGTAACTTGATCCTGTAGGTAGGCGATTCGCCGAGAGAAAAGTGTTCTGCTTAGTTTTTCTTCTTTTGCACTTTATAGAACATCGTTTTTCCAGAAAAACCACTCGCTAGAAAGAGATTAAGTTGCATTCTCTATTTTACTTTCGATGTGAAAAGAATGTGAAATTTTAATATAAGAAATATTGACGTAGAAAGAAAAATCCTATATTTTACACCATAAATTATAAAGATTAAATGTCTAAAAATTCTTCCATATTCTCAAAACATTTTATATTTATTATTATATTGTATTTAATAATAGAATTTGATTAAAAACATCTTCGATTACTTAAGTAAAAAAAACTCTATTATCAAATTTCCTAAGTGCATTAACACAAATTAAAAATTGACTTGAATGGGTGGAGGTTAGATAATAACGTCCTTTAATACGATATTCCTAATATCTATCAAGTAAACATCATCTAGATCCTAAAAATTTACTTTTTCAGCATCTAATATTTTAATTAATTCTATAAAGGTGATTATAGAAATCAGTAAAAATGTCAAAAAAGTTGTTTTTTTTAAATCGAAGTTTTAAAATTCTTGAATACAAATAACAATAGAAGTGAATAGTTGGTGGTTATGTAATAGTATTATTTTACTTTTTAATGTTATCCTTCTAATTACTGTAAAGGAGACATTGTCTGAGTTTCTGTATAGACAGAGAGTGGCTAGCCGCTGATAGAGCTCTTATCACAGGGGAATACCTTGTAATGGGGATTAATTTAATCCGTCACATAGCGGGAGGAGACATTAAACTACTCTTAATTAGGCTTAGCTAGCAGCTAGCCTTCTATTAAAACTTGTGCTGATTTGCATGAAGCGGGTTATTTAGAGTTGCACTGACAACTTTTCCCATGCAACTGTTCAGATTGATGTAAAAATGCAGCAAACTTTACATACTTAGATACTTGGATGCTTTAAATACAGTTTTTAATAGCTTCACACTTAAAAGATTCTCTTAGATAAAAATAAAAATGTAAATTTATGATAAAATTTTGTTTGTATGTAGTAATTCATTCATACAAGCTTATAATAATGCTATTAAAACTTATAAAAAGAATTCAGTGATTAGTTTTGAATATTGAATAAAATTTAAATAACGAAATAAGTTCTTTTTTTGAAAAAAATTCTTTAATTATAAATATTAATTAAGAATAATTTTCAAATCTTGATATGTCATTATTAATTATAAATAATTAGAATTCAAGAAAGAAAAAATAAAATTAAAATTTATTCAACAGAAGTGAGAAAACTTTAATAAAGTTTACTTAATGAAGATAATATAATTAACAAATATTTCGAAGAGTAAATGAAAATTAAAACAATATATGTCGTCAATTAGTGAATAGAGAGTGTCTATTGCAAATTGAATAATCAGAAGCATTTAATATTCCTTATGTAAGGCACATAAAAACCTCTCAAAGGAACCGTAATGAAATTTTCCTTAATCATCCCTATTTATTCTCCAAGGAAACTATCAATGTAAGCCTATAGCAATAATAAAAACTTCTAGGAGTATGAATTATATATAAAGACAATCATTATGAAAACACTTCTTCGATATAAAATTGCACAAATATCGCCTCCATTTTCCAATTAGAATAAATATAGTGATTAATTTTTCTTTTTTTTTTTTCTTAAATGGTTAATAAATAGAAAGAGAATGTAATTTTTATTTTATTTAAAAACAAAAGTAAACAAAATGCTTTGTCAAATATTTATCATATAAATATTTCTGTATTTTTAAAAATCTTTCTAGTCAAAAACTGTTCATGGCTTTTCGAGTTAGAAAAAATCTACTCTTTCAACTTGTCAAAATTGATTATCTGCAGCGAATTATCGATTTTTACTTCAATAAAGCTTACTCGTAGCTGATGCTAAAGATTCAGAAATATTAAAAAATATTATATAAAAAAAAAATATTTCTACATAAATTATAAATTTATAATATAAAAAAAGTAATAATAAAGTAAATATAAAGTAGCAAATCGAGCAGAAAGATATTTCTTGTTGACCTTAACATTAATGTGTTGACATTTCAGGATCTTAAAAAGGCTTTTATTCTTATAAACTAATTTTTAAAAATTACACATTTGTAACTAAATCATAGAAATTTATAAAATAAATATTATAACTTATTCATTGAATACATTTTACGATCTGTTTACTTCAGTTATATTTAATTTCATGCAACGAGTGTTGTGAATAATGTCTTTGACACCATATTTGGACGTTTTGTTTATGGCACAAAATAAAATATAAAAAAAATTCAAGTAATTTTTCATAAATACTTTTCCTTTTCATATTTTACTCTGCACATTTTCTATGAGGAAATAATGTGAGAAGTTTGATTTTTAATAGTCACGCTATCGATACCTTTTATATTTCATTTCTATAGAAATTGCGTGAGTTAAAGTTATATATAAATATATCAACTGTAAAATATATATAAAAAGATATTTTACAGTATGTTTTAAACACGTTTTATTATATATAATATAGGAAATTTAATTAAAATATTTAAAATGAAAAATACGTAATTAATCGTTTATTTTTATTTATTTGAATATAATTTATAACCCTTATACTCGTTCTAATATATAATTATTTATTAATTTATTACATTAATTATCTTTTAATAACTTTTTAAATAATTTAAACACACTTAAAATTCCATTATATATGTACAGTACATTTTATGGCAATTTTAATATTAATTTTACATTTTTTAAAGCAAACATTCAAGTAAAATATAAATAATTTTAAATGTAAAAAAAAAGTTTAATCAGTTCGATTTAATTAATAGCATAATTATTTTTATTACTTCGATTATTATCGATTTTTCTTTATTTTATGTACAAGTATTATCTTATGATTAATTAACCCAAGATTATTCGTTTTAATCAATAAGCTTAATCAAGATAATTAAAAGTGTTATACGCTGATAAACTAAGATCAAAATATTTTTATATCGAAAAGTTTTAATGCAGATATTTAAATTTTTATTTTTAATGCAAAACAAAAGATTAAGTCTGACACTAAACCTTAGAATAAACAAGGAGGTAAAATTAGCTTCTTTGGTAAAGAAAAGTAAATTTACCTCAAGGAGAAAAGAGGAAAAATATGAGGAGAAAAGAAAGAAAAATATCAGTAAATAACTTATTAAATAAACAACTTTTTAAAAAATTATTTTAAAAAAAATATATATATTGTTTATTTTTATATAATTAAATTTCAGATAATTATTTTAAAGTATATTTATTAATTATTATAGCAATTATTGATTTATTTACTTTTCTTATTGTGTTTTTTTTATCTAATAATTGCTATATGTTTGCATTGTTAAAAAATAAAATTGATTTAATATCTGCTTGAATATTTTGTATTTTATTAGAATAATTTTAAAAAATGGCACATATAAATGATAAAATATAACGAGAATGGAAGAGTTTAAAAAAAAATGTAATTTTATATTAAATTTTTTTAAAATAAAAAGAAAATGTGTTTTTATGAAAATTCTTTTTAAATATTAAATAGTTATGTATATATATTGATAAAAATTAAATTATAATAATAATTAATTCAAAGTAAAACTTTTTATATCATAAGCTTAAGGCCTTTTTTACGGTCCATTTTGTAAATTAATTAATATAAAACGCCCGTTTGTCTGTATGTCAGAATCTATTTAATGCAAAAATAATTTTCACCAGAACTTTGAAGTAGTTTAACGTTCCGAGCCCCGAAGCAAATACGATGATGGCAATTTGATTCTTTTTTTTTAGTTTCAAATTTTAACAAAAACTAATGTATAAATACGAAATTTAGGGTTATTTTGATGAAAATTACGGTTAATTTGTGGCTAGTCCCCTAAGGGTAAATGGGAGTACTTACTAAGAGGGGATGGACGATTATTTAATTATTTTGTCTGATCAAAACTACAAAAATTCAACTCTAGACATAATAGATTTTTGCCTTGTTAAAAAAAGAGAAAAAATTGATTAAAAAATATATAAAAATTATAAAAGAATTAATTGTATAGTATTTGAAAAATATTAGAATGCAATTTTTTTTATGTTTTTAACATTCTTGAAATGTTACAATCAATTCTTCTGTGAATGTAAGGACAGTTATAAATTAATTAAATAATTTAAAAACCCTTATAAATTGATTAAAGCATTAAAAAATATAAGAATTTATTTTAAAAAATTAAGTTTTAAGTTTTTAAAACGGAAACTGAATATATATTTCTATATTTATTGCATTAAAGTATTAAAGTGATGAGAATGGAAGAAGGGAAGAGTCTAGAGTTACAACTGGAAATCTATAATATAAAAATTTACAATTTTCTACGAAAATGTAATATATTTTAATCGATAATTTATGAATTCATCTACTTAATTTATTTTAAAGTTTACGATTTGATTAGTAAAATCAGAATTAATCAAGTTTTGATGTTTAAGTGCGCTAGAGGGTTTGCAATCGGTCAAGTGATCTGTCGTCCATTTACCGAGTGAGGACGTAGACATAAATTTGGCAACCGTGAAAAGCTTTGCCACCTCTAGGGTGTTATAAAGAGCCGGAAGGTAGTTGATCCACACCCGTTTTAGTCACGTGGGAATTTAGCACAAACCCTCGCGGAATATTTACAATCAACTGCAGATAATATTTCACATCTGCTCTAGATATTCTATTAATTATAATATACCGTGAGGATTCATTTTCCCATTTTGGGAATTACGCATGAAAAATTAAAAATAATAAATCCTTAAAGTAAAATATAAAATTAACTAGTTAAAATAATAATTTATTTAAATTTTTATAGCGGCTCAATATATCATAAATTTAATTTATTATAAAATATGATAATAAATTTTTTTAATTATGAATTATTTACGCTGTATTATCTCTATTTAGTTTTATTTTAATGAAGTCTCGATGTTAGATTTAGAGCCAAGTTTAAAACTGCTCTCCGAAGACCAGTTGGTTTGTAAGTTAGTGAAACAAATTGAAATTTGCCAAAGGGTAAATGCAATTCCACCGAAATTAACCAGTGTAATTAAAAGAC